ACTTAATTATCGCCAACAAATTAAATTGAAATTAAAAGTATTTAAAAGTATTTTATTTAAAAAAATATATATAAAAAAAAATTCTAACAACAATACCTTTTTGCTGGTAGATATTTATATTATTTACATAAAAAAGATTACTGGCTTTTTAAGCTTTTATTTTTATGTATCCATAATTTCAGGTAATATTCAAGACGATGTTAAACAGCTTTGGCCTAAATTTCCACCACCATGATTTCTCTAACAGTGATTGAAATGGAGATGACCATCATATCCCAAAACATTTGATCTACCATTATTTCTTCTGGCTGTTCAAAATCTTACGCACATGAAAAAAATATCTTTCACTTTTTAGAATTAATATTAAAACATATTTTTATTTCCATAAGATAATACGTGATTTTTACAGAGAATATTTTCTTGTTAATGCATGTTTGTATACCTGAGCTTAGATTTGATAATTAAATTCAATTAAACATGTTTTTTGGAGCAACTATAACAATTTTTAAATAATTTTTAAACATTTTTTAAACAATTTCTAAATCAATATATGTCCGATTAGCTGAGCATAATCACGAGCAACACAACGATTTGTCGTTTTTCTGTCTTTACATTTGAAAATTGTAGTAATATTACTATTATTTTAAATTTAGTGCCTTTGTAGTGTATATAGTTGAAGCCAATTTAGAATTTTCCTGCTCTGTCAAATGCCTCAAAAAGCAGTTTAATTAAAGAAAAATAAAAAAATGTTTTTTGGAACAATTATGACAGTTTTTAAACTGTTTTTAAACAATCTTTAAATCAAAATATGCCGGCATTCATATTCTGTTTCTGTCCTGTCAAATGCACTCAAAAACCTGTTTAATTAAAGTGAAATTAAATACGTTTTTTTTTTTTTGTGAAAACTATGACAATTTTTTAACTATTTTTCAAAAATTTTTGAACAATCTCTAAATCAAAACATGGTGGCATTCGTATTCTCAGCTAATCACGAGTAACACGACTATGTGTTGATTCTTCTACATTTACATTTAAAAATTTCAATAATATTACTATCAGTTAAAAAACAGAGAGCTCCATAATTTAGTGCCTTTGTGGTGTATATACTTAGTTGAAGCCAATCTAGAATTTCCCTGTCCTGTCAAATGCACTCAAAAAGCAGATCACTTCAAATACATTTTCTAAATCAACAAAGCCTTGAAGTACATAAAGTGTCATGTGATATGTTTTACCAGTTGGAGACAGCGTGGGAAGATTAATAAATTTCTTAAAATGAAATTTCTTTGCTAAGCTTATAAACGAGGATGCTGTTCAGTTCAGACACAGCCCCATTTTAATTAACTCTCAACAACACACACGCACAGATTTCACTTTCTTTGGCAGCAGCGCAGAATTAAATCATCATTAGCAATGACCACTGTGCACGGTGGTGTCATTGTCATGTCGCTATCATTGCGTGCTGCGACACACAAAATCGTGTGGTGTGTTGGTCGCCGCGACTGTTTTTACTTTTCTTTTTTGTTTATGTTTTGTTTGCAGTTTTTTTTTTGTTTTTTTGGTTTTCATTTTTCCGTTGACAACGCACAACAATGCCAACAAGGAAGTGGCGCATCTGCCGCCCAATTATGATGAACGGCAACAGCGGTGGTGGTGTGGTTGTGTGGCGGTGTGGCGGCCATGTTGCCACACGTCACGAGGAACTAACCAGCTGAATTACGGCTTGCAACACCTGCGGTTTTCATTTAGTAGTTGGGAGTAACACCAACATTTCTACACTCTCTAAAATTTACAACAACAACAGCAGCAGCGGCGGCAGTGGCAGCGGCAGCAGAAACTATGACAGCACCAAAAACATCGACATTGTCATTGACGTTTAACGGGCAGTTGCGTTAAACAACAATGCGAATGCTGCCCACAAGGGACTTTTGCAAAAGTTAATGGCTGGGGTTTAACGATGTTTGCAGCAAGTCTTCAGTTGACATGTGCGAAATGTGTAATTCAAGTGAATTATTACTAATCTGCCCCCAAATCGTGCCCTGAGATTTGCAACTGTCCAATTGATCGAAGCTTCTGCAGGAGAATCGAAGGTCAAATGGTGACTGGTTTCGATAAACACGATTCGCAAATTTGCCAAATTCGTGTGACATAATGTGAGTAATGAGTGTGTAATAAAAGCAAACAAAGCGTGCCAATGTTGGACGATGTTTAAGCATTTGAATGTGGGTGGGAAGGTGGTTGAGAGTATATACATAAGATATAGATGGCTATTGTCACTTTGGTATTTCAAGCGGCGATAACGACGACAATGACGCCAACATGCTCTACTCGTATACGTGAGCTGCGTTTATGCCAGAGCGCCTTTCCTTTTTGATTGCTGAAAAAAAAAAATGGTGCAACAGTGCAACGTCATTGCACAAATAAATCGGCGGTATATGGGTCAATATTGAAAGATTCACAATAAAATGTCATATAAAATTTGCTAATAAGCGATTGTGGCAGATATTTTTAGGTTGGCATTTAAAATGTTGCCTACGACCATTAAAAACAGCCGCTTTAATGATTTTATTAATAATAATTAAATAAGCGTGATTAATGCGCTCAACTAATGCACGCCAGTAGCTCACTCGTGCTGTTGGCATTTCGACCAAGATGCCAAACAGCAGACCATAAAGCCAACCGTCGTACGACCTTTGTGCGTCAGCTTTTGAAGCCGAGTTCGATTGTAAGCAAGCGTTAAGCGTCCTCACCTTACCCCGTCAATAAATGCCGAAGCGTTGGCATTGAACTTCATACGCACCGCACCAGCATTAGGCAGCTAATTACATACTATACGTGTATTTGCATCGTTTATTGGTTCGTCCAAAAGATTAAGGGGCGTTTGACATGCGCCCCCGCAGGCCGACGAGTGCCAAGGCAGCAGGTGTTACACATCATTTATATTGGTACGTCCGCATCGATCACTTAGTGGTCAAAGATCTGGACACTCCCATGGCTACGATGAGATGATGAGCGTGCCCATGCCCACTTTTTTCAGTTGTGCTGGCACTTGATGAACGACCCATGCTCGCTTTTTGTTGCATAACCAGCACATGACGGCAACACTTCAGGTAACGAGCCGTCCGTGTGACACACGCAGGCGAGGGCGCCCAATAATTTCTAATAATTTAATTTATTTATGCGTGTGAAGAAAAGCAACTCGAGCGATGGTGTGGCGTTGTCGCGCGTTGCATGAGCCCATAAATAATCGGTCTCGTTTTTACTACAAAAAGAAAGTAAGACAACTCAAGAAAGTTGATTTTTTTTCTGGTATTAAATATAAATAATATGTAACGTCATATTTTTCCTAAATAAAAATTATATTTTTAATTAATATCTTAACAAATTTTATAAAAGTTGCAGCTACATCTTAGACTGTGCCGTGTAACGAGTAGGCCCCGTTCCAAATAGTGCTGTCCAATCAGCATTACTTATTAGATCTTACAACTGAAAAGTTAAAAGCTGTAATTGTCTAAATATTGTATTTAAATAAAGAAAAAAAAACCATTTAAATATAAGCATTTTTTAAATACTTACAAATTTATTTGTATAAACATTTTAACAATTGTTACATCTAGTATTTAAATGAAATTATTGTGTGCGCGCTAAAGTCAACGCTTTTCAACACTGACAGCGAAGAAAAAGCTTCATTTGCTGTTTCGCTCACACGTTTGCAAGAAGAAGCCACATGCGCAGTCGCACAGTTTTGCAGCCACTGGAGCTTTTTGGCTTTCGAGAAATACCATAGGATTGTATAATTTGGGTAAATGGCGATTCAGAAAATAAATAATATGAAGAAAATCGACAATTCTTTATTTCATTAGCCTAAATGAAACGAAAGGCGTAGTTGTTTTAAGTTCTTCTCCACAGTCCGTAAGAACTTATTGAAGTAAAGTTCATGAGTCTCGGGAAGTCTTGAAGAATTGCAAGACCATTCAGAAGCGCCATAATCCTTTACATTGTAGGCATACTGTAAGTTCAAGTTTCCTTAAAACCTTAACCCATGAGGGGTTAATTTTCTGAAGTATTTTTTTTTCGATTTCGTTGTTCTGTTTCATTTGTGGATATTGATGTTGAAGACAAGAATTCAATTGTTTTGTGTTTTTATTAGATTGTAGTGCTAAACAAGGATTAAATATAATACTTAATAGATGGTTTTCACTTGAATTCAATAAAATCAAGTTAGCTTTTAAGTATTCATCTATTGTAGGACTCGCAAAGTGCCTGAATTTGTTATTCTTCAGATGAAAACCCAACAACCTGACAACTTTTCTAGTAATCAGTAGTTAGTGTTTATTTTAATTAGTCTCTGATCATAGGCTTAGTAACGCTTTTCAGCAAAACAGATTCAGTTTGTCAAGCCCGAATTAATAAACAATATCCACCTGTTCGTAGGTCTGGTTTAATCATTAATGCAATGAGACAATATGTCCTGGCCAACCTGATTAGGCCACAACGACTTACGATATAATTTAAAAGATTAGGATCTATGTATTTATAAACAAGACTGTGAAAGAATAAAATTGTATGTATAATAACAACTATAGAAGTCAGCATCGGGCAATCGAGAATAACTTCTTAGTTCGTTTTGTTGTAAGTTATTTTCACAAAATAGCCTTTAATTTTTGGGAAGTTCCTATTCGACCTGGGAAGGGTTCATGTAGCTCTGATAAAATAGGATCATAAACAAAGTGTAATTTTCAAATATCTGTTTTCTGTAGATATTAATGGTTTTTCGAGCATAAGGACCTACTACATACATATAAGGTGCACTGGCTAGGCCTAAATGTAACTCCGAAAAAATAAATTATGCCAATAAACAATACCTTCTACATATCGGCCCAAGCGTTTCAAATATTTAAACAATGGTTTAATTTGTTTTTTATTAATATTTATTTATTAGTTTTTATCTATATAAATAATTTAATTTATTTGTTTTTAATTATATATACAAATTTGGGCATTCTAAACTACATGATTGATCTCATTTTGTTGGGCGTATTGTAATTATTAAGTCAATTATAATAACGTCTTCTTATTAAATACAATTTTTAGCTGTTTTCAAATCATTTGCTTGTGTGTATTCGATTTTAGACTAAAAACTACTTTGCTTATTTTGTTTTGACTTTTTGTGTTTCTCTCTTGAACTCTTGAACTAAATTGCAGTTTTATAATTTAAACATTTAAACTAATATTAATGATTAGTAATTGTTTACATTGCATAAACCATAATCTTAAGTCTTCTGGCTCAAAACGCGTCTCAGCTGCAGTCATGGCCTGCTTGTCTCGACCCGCACCTGCAGTTGAAAAGTGTTTTAAGGGGCCTACTAATAACTAATCTGAGTCGACCTAATTATGTGTATTTACAGGCTCATTAACACTAAGCAGCTAGACTAACTAAGACTCGCCCTTGCGTCACTTCATGTAGTAACTGCTGGGAGCGCGACCGGACGTGTACGTGCTCATGGGAATGCCCTGTGGACCGGGTATGTGGTTGTTGCTCGACGAATGCGTCACGGAGGCATTTTGAGAGCCATAAAGATGGTCGACGCTGGTGTTGCCAATTCCATTGCCCGAGGGCTCGTAGTCCACATCATAATAGATGCCAGACTGATTCTATGGAAATAAAATTTCACATCATTGGATGCGAAAGCCTTAAAAAGAATTAGATACAGACCGCTATGCTGCCATTGCTGCGACTCTTGGGACGTGGCACTTGAAAGTTTCGGCCCAGTAAATCGGCGCGATCTTCCTCCTCACTCGAGCTGGAGTTTTCCAGCGTTCGCATGCCACTTGCGCGGGGTCCCAGGCCCAGTCTTCTGAGTGAAATTCCAGAAGTGATCAGAATTAGTAAGCTAATGTGATTTCTCAAAATTGTACATACCTGGGTAATGGTACTGGCGGCGCAAGACTGCCACTCGGGTGCATTTGCATTGTGCTCTGTAAAGACATGCCACCAATGGTGCCCATGCCCATGGCGCCGAGATTCGGATAAGCGAACATGGCCGAAGAGGGACGTGTGGGTCCGATAGGCTCCGCCTAAAATAAGACAAAACAACTATTAATATAGCTCCTCTTCAATATTATAATATATATTTTGAAAAATGTCTCGAATGGTTTCGTACCCCATAGTGATTAGTTTGCGCCATAACATCGGCAATCTGGGCCCAGCGCATGCGATCCTCCAGTGTTACTTGATAGCCTGCCTGGGGCAGGCCAGCGGACTTGAGGGGCGCCGTATTCATGTATCCGAACACAGGCGAGCCCATCGCATTTTTCTGCTCACGTTGCCATCTGCGCGACCACATAATCAGGCAAACCAAGGTAAGGACAATTATGATGACCGCCGCCACAGAGGCACCAATCGCTACGCCCAGCACTTCGCCGTCTATTTCACACTGCGTTCCATAGTGACTGGAGTCGCAGGCGCAGACCTGATTGCCATCGTCGTTGTAGCTGCAGGTACCCCGATTGTTGCAATAGGCATCCGGACAGGCCTGACACTCACGCCCGGCGCGTAGCATTTGATCGGCCCAAGGGTCCCGCGTTCCCACTTCACAGGTGCAACGGAAGCTTCCCCATGTATTGGTGCAACTAGCGCTGACATGGCAATCGTTTAGTTCCCGCGACTGACACTCATCCAGGTCGTGGAGTGCTGAAACAGCGCCTTCCGGAGAGCTCACATACAGCACAGAGTTGCCAATGTTGTTGTTACGCCGATGCAACACACCCAACAGATGTTTCTGCACATCGCTACGGAGATTGGGTCGCAGAGTTTCCACACTCTCGTCCAGCTGTATGGGGGGAAAGGAGAGTGTGTTCAATTTTTGAAGCATATCTAGACGAACCTGGTGCATACCTTTAGGGTTAGATTCACGTAGACACCACTACCGCCCAGATTAGGATCTCCGCGATAAATGTTGTTCACCTTGGCGTCCATGAATTCATCCGAGTATGGCGTCATAGACATAGCCGAGTCCAGCTATGGAAACATAGTTAGTAGAGTTGAATTACATTGATTTTGAGAGGGGACTCTAAACGTACCGCGCGCACTGATTCGTAGCTCAATTGTCCATAGGGCTCGCTGTTCTTGTCCAATAGCTTGCTGTCCCACACTATGCGGTGCTCGTAGATGCGATCGACTCGCATTCCCAAGTGGAAGGCAATGATGCGGCGACAAGGCTCTCGATGCTTACGACGGGAATAGCCTAAAAAACCAATGTCCATGTATAATTATGAAGCATACTTGTAGTATATAAAAAATATCTGAATATGCAGCGGAATATTCGTTCATACAAATAAACAGACAGATGACCAAATGTAACTAACCTGGCCTGCAGTGACAGCTGGACACGCCGTTATCCGTCTTGCAGCGCTCATGCTGCGCCTGATCGCATGTGGAGTCGTCACCCACGATGCATGTGTCAATGCGGACAGGTGGCTGTGTGGCTCGCGGACGATAATGAGGTCTCGTGGGATTGGCGTTGGTCGTTGGGGAGGCTGCTGCAGATGCTGGTTTTGTGCCCGGTTGCGGCTGCAACTCGACTACCTCCGTTTCAGGCACCACATACCCACCGCTGCTTTGTGTAACCGGATTGTTACCACCACCTCCACCTCCACCTGCACCTGCACTACCACCATGGCTACCACTATGGCCGCCCGCTGCTATGCCCGGAAACTGTGGTAGACGTGTAGCTGGTGTTGTTGCTCCTGCCGGCGGATCTGTTGGGTCACCAAAAAGATTGATGTAAGTGCGCTTGCCATCGATCGATACGAAGCCTTCATCACCTGATGCCGACACAATAATATCAGCCTGTGCGCCCGCACCTCCGCTGTTCCCATATGATCCATAGGGCTTGATGTTAATAGTTTGTTGTGAACCGCCGCCCTTGGTGCCCGGTCCTTGTATGGCGGATAGAGTGACGTCAAAGATTTCACCATAGCCAGGTGGCAGGTGTTGACGCGTTGGCTGAATAGGCTGTTGTGGGGCTGCCGGAGGCTGCGCGGGGCGTGGCCGACCGCCTGGTTTGAACTCTGGATCGTCGAGCACAATGCCGGGACGGGGATGGTATTGAGCGGGTTGTGCAGGGGGCGTCGGGGCATTGTTATTGGCCTGATTGGGCGTTTTTTCGGTTGTGGTAGTTGTGGTTGAGGTGGTTGTGGTTGTTGTTGAGGTGGTAGTACTGGTGGTGGATGTAGAAGAGGTGGTTGTGGGTACTTTGGAATGCGGCACGTACGGTGTTGGGGCAATGGTCTCCGCTTGCGACGTCGTCATGCTGAGAGGTGTAGTCAAAATGCTACTGCTAGCCACCACCGGATTCTCACTGGTGTGATGCAAGAGCGACGACTCCAGACTAGGTGTTCTGCTGGCTGTCATAAAGATCACCTCCTCAGTTGTGGGATCCAGCTCAGGACCCTCAGCACTTTCCATGGACATGGGCACATACGTGGATGACACTCCCATCACTGTGTGCACCACCGAGCTGGTCTCAATTATGGTCGTGTATCCATCACCATTTTGATGTTTTTTGTTGGGCTTGGGCTTATGTTTCTTCTTGCCTGCTGTCTCTTTTTCCTTGGCCGGTGTTGTCGGCGGTGATGGCGATGTTGATGGCGATGGCGATGGCGGCGGTGGCGGTGGCGGTGGTTGCAGTTCGTCATCAACTTCACCACCACCAATAGTGTCCGTGTCCTGGTCGGACACTTCAATGTACTGTGTGTTGCCATCCTCATTTGAAAACTCCGAGTCGTACGTGGTATCTGTGGGATGCGGCGGTTCCTCTTGAGTTTGCGTTTGGTGCTGTATTGGATCAGGTGGTGGCTGTTGCACCTCTTGCTCCAACGGTGGCAAAACTTGTGGTGATGGCAGTGGCTTGTACTGCGGCAGTGGTCGTCGACCCCCCACGCTAGTCGCTATTGGTGGGCGTGGCTTGTTGCGATACCACGGCGGTCGGTTACTCACAAAACCTGGACGCACGGGAACAATCTGCTCTGGTATGGGCACGCCTGTAATGAATGGTCTGTCTGGTCTATCGAACGGATATGGTGGCGGGCGTATCGAAGTACCTGGTTTTTGAGCCTCATAATCCAGAGGAAGCGTCTGCACTTCGGATATGCGGGGTGGTCCACGATTGTTGATGCGACTCGCCGCTGGCCTCCGAATGCCCTGCGTGTTTGCATGCACATTTACATTTCCATTCAAGAGCTTAACGATTCCCGTAATTATGTCCTGTATGTCGGGGTTGCCATTCTGACGAGGACTATTTGGCGCCATCGTCGCACTCGCCGCCGCTACCGTCGAGGTGGCAGTACTGGTCGTCGGCTGAATCGGACTGTTGGGGGACCCCGACTCTGGTCGCGGGTCCCCTTTCACTAAAAAAGGCTGCACAGTACTGCTTGAGCTGAAGGCGGAACTGGACTCTGTGAGTGTTTTGCCAGCGCGAGCGCGTTTTGTTCGCTCCGGTTCCCATTGCTCCTCTCCCTGGACACCCTGTGCTTCGTACGTGCCAGTTGGCTTGATGTTGTAATGAAAATATCGTCCGGCGGACACATCCTTCTCTATATCTTCGGGAAAGTGCACGTCATTGGGGCCAGCTTTGGCTCCACTCTCGTGGAGTATGGGCAGAGCAGAGCGTTGCACGCGCGCCCTCGTCTCATTCTCCTCGTTTACGAGCTGTCGACTCTGGGCGCGGGGTAGCTCAGCAGCTATAGTGTCGGCCATGGTGCTCTCAATAGATAGACGCGCTGTACTGTGAAACTCATTCTCCGCAATGCTGCTCGATTTTGGAGAGATTTGAGAGATGCCGTCATGCTGGGCAACTGCAAGTGGAAGAGGGATATAGTAGAAGATCAATTAATATAATGCCACGAAAGGTGAAATTCTTTTATTAGCATGTAGAGCACTATTGTTGCTGCACGAACTGTGCTTAAGTTTTGTTTTCGTTCCAACAACAGCTTCAGTTTCCCTAGTTAATGCCCTCGGTGTAGATACGTATGTAAATGCATTTATCACAGTGAAAAGAATCTCAGCTCATCCTCCACAGGCCACCGACAAAAAGCAACAGAGCAACAGGTTTCACTTTCCAGCAACAGTCCGCCTTCAACCTTTTCATCGCTCGGTGCTTTGTCATTGTAACAAACGCGTACACATACGTACATACGTGTATGTTAACTATATGTTTGTCTGATATATTACAGTCTGACTTTATATGGTGCGACATCGCATTTGCATTTGCGAGAAACCCAAGACGCTGCGAGTACCAGCTACGTGGCAGGCATCATTTATTTTCGATGTCAAGTTTGTGTCTTAAGTCTTTTGTTTGGCACACAGCGCGCATTCTTTTCACTCTCGTGCGCAAACTGAAATGCACAAGCACGAACGAATACTCGCATTTGTTGTGACTAGCACAAAGTCGAAAATTATATGTTTTGAGACACTTTGAATTGTCGGCCTGCGTTCGCGTTGATTGTTGTCTTAAGTTTCAACGAGCATCCAAGGCAAGGAAACCAAATGGCTTGCCCAACTGTCACAATTGTGAAGGCTTATTACACTTAGCCAGCATGCAATTGCACGGGTACGGCCTCGAAATATAGCTAGGTATGTAGATAGCGACTATGAAAGAATTTCACAAATTGCTATGTGGTGCGTTAAAAATATGCCAGTCTGCGAAAATTATTAGAAAATCTTGTTTAGCCCCAAATGCAAGTTAATTCGTGAAGCTGGCACTGAGTTGTAAGTAAACCGAAAACTAACAAAGTTTACAAAATTCAACTTATCATTAATTGTGAAACTCACTTATATTTAGTATGTACTAGGAGTTCGAGATTTCAGCTTCAAACTAATAGTTTTCCTTTTAAAATATCAATTTGTTTTGAGCCTAAGTTGAATTTATTTAAAATAAGTTGTGAAAAATTGTCATAAAATATGATTTTAAAATTGAATTATTTTAAGTTAATTTTCGGAAGAACTCATAAACCAAATAAAAAGTTGCCATTCTACCTTCAATATAAGCACTTTCAATTTATAATTTAACTAATTAAAGCCTAAGATGTTCATCTTTTGATTAACCATCAAACATTTTCGAAAGTCAAATATTTATATGGAAATCTTAGCTAAGGTGCTGCTTATATTGGCGCCTTCTAAGTATGTGTGCGTCAAATCACATCTCAATCAAACATAATGCCTGGCTATTTCTCGAGCAGCAACACATAATTCAAGTGCCACTTGTAGTTCAATTGGGAGCTCCGGGTATGGGCCAGAAACCATGCCAGCTCACAAACATTCGCTTAGCCCACACCTTTGAGTTATAAATTTATTTGCCTGCAAGTCATTTGTCTGCAACCTCTTCGTTTACTTTCTTTTAGCTGAGCTAGGTGTCTCAAGATTAATAGTTGAGATCATTGACTCGACGACAGAGGCGCGCCGTTGGCATAATTCACAATACTCAGGCCGAGGTGTCAAGTGCAACTCAGTCTCTGCAAATGTTTGACAGACGTACTCGTATTTGCCCAATGTGCATTGGCTTTCAGAGGGATTAGGAGGTGCAGGCAGAACCAGTTCAGTAAGTAATATATGCCAGAGACACACTTAACTGAGCTACGAGTACATATCAAGTTAAGGAGAGTGAAGCTACACTTTTCTTCTTCGTACTGCTATAAAAATGTGCATCATAACTCACACTCGTTGCCGGCCAAAACACGTTTAGTTATTGAGCTTAACCCAATTTCAGGTGCGGTTTCGGCGATTTTTGATTAAGTTTTGGCACAGATTTTACTTTCACCTGTCGTGCTTAGCGCCCAAGCGCTAAACTGGCGCATAAAATGGGAAGGCAAAGAAAAAACATATTATTTGTCTTGGCTAGATTGCTTGGTGTATTGGAACTGTTATTGTTTTTTTATTATTTTTTTTTTTGTGTATTTGTTGTGGCTGCCCCACAGAAATTCACTTTCTATAAACAACAGCAAGTTTTTGATATAATTAGCGCTTCCTTTTGCAAACAAACCGTCAAATATGCGCCACTTTTCACTTTCCTTACAATTTCCACTTGATTTTCAACATTTTCTTTATTGATTTGAAATTGTAACAGAGGTGGCGGAGATAGCGGAGGCAGCGACTACCACAAAATAGGTAAAAGTGTTCGCGGAGCCAAAAACGCGCCAGCGGCTGTGAAATTACCAGAGACACGAGCTCTCGTACAAACAACTTCAATAACAGCAGAAATATTGCATTGGTCTGCACAAATTAAAAAGTCGCTCACTCTAAAACAAGATGGCATTACTTGGCCAGGCGCTAATGGTTGCCGGCGCTTAGAGTGTTGCTTCAAAATGTAATATTCGTACAGTTTGGAATTGTATTTATGGCATAAAATACTTTCACAGATTCGCGCAGTTTTCAAAAAAAGTAAAAACAGACATTTAATACTCTGGTATTTGATTTAAATGCCCCACAAAATAATTGCTCACAATTTCGGTTTCAAGTCCTTCAGACAATACCTCTGTGCTAGACTGAGTTCAACGCACGGCCCAGCTTTTAGTGTCAGCCACATGACGACAGCAACAATGAAGACAAGACTGGCAACATCATTAGTTCCAGCGCTTGCCTACACTAATTTAAACGCTACTTGGGCAACAGGCGATTGCTCTAGCTCTAGCTTTCGGCGACGGAAGGTGCACGATTCGCATGTTGCAAGCCAAACCTAACTTGCAACCCACACACTCGGGTATTAGACTGCCGCCACCAAATTGCCAATTTCAGCGCCTCTAAGTCGCTGGTAGACACACAGACAGACAGATAGACAGGCACCCGTCGACCGACAACAATAAAACCCAAATCACTTTCTATTTCGTTGCATTTTAATAGTTTTCTGTTCGCCTTTGCCGAGAGTTCCAAACTACGATGTTTCACAATACACAGTTTAAGCCCGAAGTGTAAGCCAAAGCGTGCTTGTTGACAATATTTCTGTGCTTTGTTGTAGTGAGGAGCTGGCGACAATAATTACACATTTGCACGATTATGAAATGGCGCAATGCGATTTCAATATTTAACACACGTACGTGTACAAGATGCGCGCACATTACGCATACGCCATGGTTGACTCGACACATTTGGCCTAAGTACCGTCAACAAAATTGGCTTAGAGTGTGGTGTGTAAGTGTTGTTAATTTGTTGCTTCTTTCGTTACATAACTTCACCATTAGGGAGCTAGTTCGCTACGATTTCACTTAATAAGTTATGTCAGCTGCTATAATAAGTGGCTCAGGCGTATGAGCTGGGTGGAACAGTTACTAACTATTTATATAAAATTAAAAAAAATAATAATATTTTTATGAAAATTAATATAACGAAGTACAATAATGCAGAGCCCTCCCCCTTTCAATTAAATTGTTGCATTGGCAGCTGTTCCAAATCTGAAAACAATTGAATTATCGGACTCAAAATATTTCCATTATATGGTTTATTTTCAATTTAAAATCTGCACACAGATATTCGTGCAATCTTTAACTGTTATCGAGTCGGAACATAAGTATGTTCTTGTAGCATCAGTGATTTGTTTATGATTCGATAGTTCGCTCAAAGAATATTTCTACTTTGGCTTTCCAGTCATTATATGCAGCCACATATAACTGGATTTTGTAATCTCCGGAAGGAAGCGGTGCGAATCGTAGATATTCCGAAGAGAACCCTTGATTTCGCACTATGAGATCATGCTAGAGAATTCGATGCTGTCAATAAATAAAACCCTTTTTCATATATCATTACTTACGTTATAGGGACACGTGTGATTTATATTGGATTGGCTTGAAACAGCTTCAACGACGATTCGTAAAAAGGACAACCCTTGTCTTTTCTTCATAAATTTACAAAAGTCAGTTGTGTAATTATACATAAAAAGGCGGTAGCCATTGTACTTTCGCCATAGACTGATATTGACCTTGAAAATATGAAAACCAAATCCTGTAGCAATGAAAACAATGGCCTGTGCTAGCACAGATGCCATGGAACTTACCGTTGAGTTCGTTACAGGCTTTTGGAATAAAGCAACGTAAATATTCAGCGCCACGACTCCGCGTCCAACAAGCTTTAATCGGCATTCTTTGAACTCTACAAATTTTGTATCCAAACTCTCGCATTTAAGGTTTGTGTATCTATCCTGAAGACTGCACACAAGCATTAGCGACAAAACAGTATAAAATAAAAATGCCCGATGTGCCGACATTTTTCCAGAGCCCTCTGCAACGTACTGCCAAATTAATACTTTGATCAGCAACACAATACTTTTATAGAAATATATATAAATAATTCTATAAATGAGTTTTGAAATTAATCAGAACGCTTGACCGAGCTCTTGGATTGTTCAGAGAAGTGCTAAATGAGTTTTGAAGTTAATCAGATCGCTTGACCGAGCATGTATAAACAATGAAGCACATTTTCATTACACTTGTGGGATATTGTTAAATTAATTTGTCTTTTTAAAATGAAAGCGCGATTCGAAGCGACAAATGATAAAAATTATTGTATAACAAAATCTAATTAACAGCAATCTTTTCTCGATTAATCAAGAAGTTCAAAGTTTTAGGTTTCTGGATCTGTGGTGATAGTTTCTACAATATAAATATAAATATATTTCAACACTATGGCCACAGCTGTGTTACTAAAAATTAGAACAATTTTTGGTACATAATGTACTTTTGGTTCTATTCATCATTCACAGTACAGAGCGACAGATGAGAAGAGTCACCATTTCCAACGACTTATGTTTATTAACGCTTAATATGTATAATTCAAATATTGTTTGGATTAAACAAAAATAGGGCTACACATATAATTTTGTAAGAGGATTTGCTAATTGCTTATCGGTGACAGTTTAAAAGACAAATAAAGAAATAACAATTCCCGGTGTATCACAGAAATAGCTATGGCTAAAAGCAAAATGTTGTATGAATTTCCGGATCATTACGGATTGCTGCTCTCCCAACACTCTAGGAAAAAATGTTTCTATC